CAGTGCGGTGGCAAGGACTACAACGGCGCGACGGCGTGCGTCTCGGGCACCCGCTGTGAAAAGCAAAACGACTACTACTACCAGTGCCGCCCCAACACGCTTCGCAGCCTCCGCGAAGCATAAGTTCCCTTTACTTTCCACGTAGCGTCCGCACCTTGCGCATAGATAACACAGTGTTTTCAAAATCACTCTTTTCAATCTTCAAAAGCAGTCTGGACTATGGACAAGTCACATTTGGTCGAGCTTGGGATGGAGCACAACGATTAGCAACCAACTACGATGAGCACCATGTGCCACATTTATGTAGCAGCACGATGAGCATCGTGGAGTGGTTTGTAGGATGATGAGCATCGTGATGTGGTTTGTAGGATGAGCCCGAGGCTACAGATTCCTTCCAATTCGAGTGCTACTGGCGTTTTGGTATCACGTGACTCTCCGTACCAGCAGACTCGAGCGACCGACGCCAGCACAGAGTCGAGCAACCGAGTGGTGCTTGCTTTCTAGTCAGAATACCACCTTTGGAGTACCACCCTCGAGTCCATCGACCGGATCAACGACGATTTCGTCCTGTACAGAGTATAAACGCTGGCGTTGGCCATGCCGGACCGCGGAAGCCTCGGCCACAGAATCTTCTCATCCGACGATATATTCTCTTGATGTTTGTAGGGACGAAACGGCAACCCTAGCCCGGCGCAAAGCTAATGTCTACGCAGCACATGTGCAATGCGTTCGCTTCGTACGCCGACGCCAGATGGACTTCGAATCGAACGGCCGAGGTCCACCTTGCACTGTCGAGCAACTCTATCGGCAACATCGTCGACACGACCAGCTGGTTCTCAAGCATTAGCTCACGCGCTACAAGAGTGTCCTCGGCCCGTACTAGTACCTCGGAGGCAGCGAACATGTGACACCCGACCTTCGAATGCTTTGCGTACCACGAGATACCACGCGCATACTATGCAGCGTCGCTTGTCGCCCAGAAAAGAGCGCAATGAACGTACCGCGTGTTTTAGCGACCGCGTCCGCGGGGCCATCTTGCACGATG